GTACGTACGTAGTACGTACGTAGTACGTACGTACGTACGTACGTACGTACGTACGTACGTACGTACGTACGTACGTACGTACGTACGTACGTACGTACGTACGTACGTACGTACGTACGTACGTACGTACGTACGTACGTACGTACGTACGTACGTACGTACGTACGTACGTACGTCGTACGTACGTACGTACGTAGTAGTAGTACGTACGTACGTACGTACGTAGTACGTAGTAGTACGTAGTAGTACGTAGTAGTACGTAGTAGTGTGTGTAGTGTGTAGTGTGTGTGTGTGTGTGTGTGTGTGTGTGTGTGTGTGTGTGTGTGTGTGTGTGTGTGTGTGTGTGTGTGTGTGTGTGTGTGTGTGTGTGTGTGTGTGTGTGTGGCTGGATTTAGATGTTGATTCGTTTAGGCTGAACTGTATCTGTGACTGTGCCAGAAAGAAAGAGAGAAACAGGAAAGATGGAGGGGAGATGGAGCGAGTGTGCAGAACAGAGACGGTGAAGGGTCTGGCAGCTAACGGCGAACACAGAGACACATGGCCATGACGACCGCCAGCGCCGGCCAAGTCCTCCTCTCCTCCCTCCTCCTTAACCGCGTGGCCGTCTTCTGGCCAAAATGGCCCCAGATGCCATATTCCAGCATAGGTTTATCTGGGGATGGGAGCTGGATGATGGAATTCGGGCTTTGAGCAGGATTATGAGGGGAGGTGGATGAGGCCGACTGGCTTCCTGCTCTTTTTGAGCACTTCTTCCTGGGGAAAGGGGAGATTCTGCCTGAGACATTGGCATTTTAGTGGCCTGAGTGATTAGTGGAGGGCAGAGCTCTATCTGCAGTGATGTGGTTTCAATCTCTAAGATGTGGTTCCATACTGGGGGACTCTCTGCCGTGCTTCCAGCTCTAAGGCATGCTACGCCCACCTAGAGCCAGTCAGGCCTGCCCTTTGATGCTGAGATGTCTCACAGAGGAAGCCTTGGGCCTCCGGCCTGCGCCCGGCCGCCGCCCAAGCACATCAAACAAAAGCCAAGAGAGTACAAGTCAATGACCACCGCAGAATACACAGAGCAGACCCTCACATCCTCTGTCCCAAAACCAGCAGCTAACCACCTGAAAGCGTGCTCAGAGGTGTCAAAGCTGAGCACACTGTACTACGTTCAGAGATCGAAAGATGAGAAAGACATATTTCACACGCGGTGACTAAACCCTGATTACTGAAAAGAGTCTGTCTGTGTTTTTGGTGTTAACAAGACCTCCTGTTTGTGGCAACTTTTCCTGTGTTCACAAGCTTCTTATCTAAGCTTACGGGACAACACACTGTACCACCAAGTGTTTTGGGACACACATGCAGGCGAGCAGGGCTAAAGTCTCCATGCAAAATGTGGAATTTGTTTCAAAGGGAGCAACAGAAGTCTGGATTTACCAAAATAAACTCATTTTACAATTACTCCAAGGTCAGGGTCAGTTCAAATGCTAATATGTGGACTGGGAAATATTATTCTTCTCTCCTTTTAACCTTGGTCTGAATCTGTTTCTGCAGCCCTATGCCAAAAGTAACATGGGAAAATGATTTAGTGTGAGGCGCTTGCATGACAAGCATGGAGCGGGATACTCTTCTCCTCACACACAGGAATATATAACCTCTATCTGTTGACTGAAGAGGGGAAATATTACCTACATGTGGCCTCGAGAACTTATTATTATTATTAGTTACAACTACAATGGCTTTTTGATTAAAAGTGACAGCTTTGTGCTGAAGAGAGGAGAGAGGGGGGAGATAAACGAGTCCCTGGGGTCTTCAGATTGAGGTTGTGAAATGATGTGGTGAGGCGCTAACCGACCCAAAACGAATCAGGCGGATTGGTGGTCAGAGGGGGGACTCTGAGTCCCTGGCGAACCAAAAGGCTAGAAATAAGAAGAAAAAAAATCGGCCTGGAAATTAATCGAATTTTAATTAAGCCCCCTTCTTTAATATTCAAAAGCAAACCGGCTGCGGGCTTGGTTCACTTATACATTTTAGATTCGCACTTACTGCCAATAAATCCTATTAATTCCACACTGTTTGTTATCGCCGTGGCCCGGAAATCCTCAGCAGGGACAAATCAGATAAAATATGCAGAGGAGGAGGGCAAGGTGGGACGTGATGAGGGAGAAATAAAGATGGAGATGGAGGAATAAGTATTCAGGACATGCTGTTTGATGGGATACCGAGATCTCCTATGAAGGTTTATTACTTACATTGTGCAGTTTGTAGTACAGGCCGCAGGCGTTACACACCGGGTCCCCGTTGGCGTTTCTCCGCCACAGCGTCGTCGTCGTGGTCTGGCAGTTTGCACACGACGTCCCGGCGCGTCTGGCTGCAGACTGCACAAACACAGAGGGGCAAAGAGCGTCACGTGACCAGGTGATTACCCAACCAACATGGATGCATTTAAGATCTACATTCAGGGCTGCAATTCCTGTAAAGAATACGTGATTCTAGCACTGTGATAAAAATGAAAATATGGCGTTTGTTGATGTGATTTAATAAATAAATATTGGGCTGAAATAGATCACAAAAAAATCGTCTTTAAGGTTGTTTATTTTTTATTTTTGCCGACATGTATATGGCATCTTGCATAATAGCCTACAACATATCTATAAATGCAATAAGAAATTGCAATTTTACTTCCTTTCATTTAAATGAAATGTCTATGTTTTACTTATGTGTATTCTGTTAAAGCTATTTATAAAAGACAAATCGTGCTGATCAAAAAAAAGCTGGATGTACATTGTTAATGTGCACCCCATAGTTCTTATTTTGTAATTTTAAAAATAGCTTTAAATAAAGACATAAATACCTAAATCAGAGCTGCTTTCACTCCAGGCTAAAAATAGCGTCATAGAGCACATACCTCCTGAAGAATAAATATTTACAGAAGACATAAAAGCAGAGCCTTGAAATAAGAGAGCTATTAAATCTGATTAAATGTCCTCTTTAAATGCATGGTTGTGCCACGAAAGCCCGTTTAAAATGTCGACCTCGTGACGTGAAAAAATTCAAGTGAAAAGGAAGAACATAACGATTTATTATCGATTAAAAGACTCTTATATAAGATGATTCTAAAACGGTGACAATATGGAAAGAAAATAATAAGATATCATGCAGTGAGATGAACCATGAGCAATAATTGCACGCCAATTAAAAGCATAATAAAAAAAGAAAATGTGGATATTTTTAGCTTCGCTGCAGGCTACAGCAGAGTAAAAGCCTCTCTTCATCCTGACACAGTGAAAGTCATGTCTTCCATGGATTTACTGCCTGTCTTACGGCCCAGTTTGCAGCACTGGCCTGACATTGATGTTATAATCTCTAAAAACAATCGATAGACAGGTGAGCGCAAAGGACACACTAACGTAAAGGACTACATTATCTCAGGGAGGGATTTCCAATTATACACACGTGGTGGCCTAATAACCCCTGCTGTATGCTGTGAATAACCAATCAGCTCGGAGGAATAAGCCTTATTAAGTTCGTATAAAATGTGTTTGGCTATGATCTTAACCTTTACTTCAGTCCTTTTTTTAATTATGATTACGCTTGCTGTCAAATCAGCAAATAATCTCTTCTCTCTGCCAAGTAACATTACATTTGAGCATACGAGCTATTATTAAATCGAAATTGGCACATTGGCAGGTCATCTATTGGTTCTATGGTGTCACTTCCTGGCCTATAAATAAGATTATTTTTGTTTAAATAGGTCAAATGTGGCGTGCCAATTACCCACTTTAGCCACCAGCCGCGCGTATTTGAGGGGAGAATCTAACACTAAATAATCTCGAGTCGTGACTGTGCTGGCCTCTGTGTTTTGACTGGGGAAGCGGGTTGTGTTGTTAAAAGCGACTTATCTGCGCTGCTCAGATATCCGGCAGCCCTTTCCTGGGAAGTCAGGTTTTCACATTAGAGGCGAAGAGGAGAGAAAAGGTCCAGAACAGGACTGGATACTTGCCTCGAAAGATTTTGCTCATATAAGAAGGCTGGGGAACTCCTCTAAAGATAAAGATACAGCTTTGATGATAGGGGCTTTCCCTGACATAACTGCTAACAAATAACTCGACCTGGAGCATTCATAAGTATTGCAATAAAACAGCCTACAAATGTATCGTAAAATGTCAAAATAATGTTTAAAAGATGGAGCTCATTGTGCGTTTTAAAATGCAGGCCTGCAGCCACAAGCTACAGAAGCTCTCTTTAATGGAGGCAATGCATCTCCAGAATAATACACATGGGGCCTAAACAGAATAATCAATGACAATTTTAGCAAATAAAAAATAGCATCGTCATTGCATTTAAAAAAAAAAAAACGGTGCAGTTTTTTCTATGGTAGTATCTGAAAACAGAGACCTGCACTTGTCGAGTCAATTTCCTGCAGCTAATAGGCCTACTTCTTCCTGGATAGGGGAAAAACAGAGAGAGAGACGGAAATGTCATCAATAGAGAAATGTGGTGGAGACGTACCAGCCGCCGCTTGGGTTTGATGAGAGGGCGATTCTGCCCGTTCATCTTGTGATAGAGTCCGCAGGCGTTACACAGATAGTGACCCGTACCGTCCCGCCTCCACAGCGGAGTAGACGTGGCCCCGCAGTTCACACACTCTCTACCTTCTGCAAGAGCCACCACACATTCACACACACGCACAGAAAACATGGGAGAGAGTACCAGGTCAGTTAGTCCTTGAAAAATAATTATTGATTATTCAAGACACACATTACATCTGGTAAAAACATGCAAATGCAGGAAAAGCGTCAACAACCATGATAATGTAATATTTGAAATACAGGTATGACTTATACTGCATCACATATTACATTTTTACCACAAACATTAACTCATTAGACACATGTAAATGTTGATTATGATGAATAGTTTTTGTTGAGGTCCATAAAACTGCATTTCTTTTTTAAAACAACAAATATTTTAGACACGGTTTCATGGTTTTAAAAATAGTCCGTGGTCATTTAAACAAAATAAGCCTTCTTATTTTTCTTGTCACCCAGTATATAGTTTGAATAATAATAATCATAATAATACGTCAATTTTGCCTATATCTTTTTTTTTCATATCAGTCTGTCTTTTATTTTTGAAACGATTGAGGGGTCCATGTTTGACTGACACTTCTCTAGTGACCCCGACAGGTGAGCCGCGCACTGACAGTGTGATTATAGAGAGGGGGGGGTGCTGAAACTGAAACAAGGGTGCTGCAGCCACACTCACATTATTTGAAAGCAGAGACTCACACAGGGCTTTTGTGCAACGCAGAGAGCCTTTTTGCATTTTCATGCAGCCGCACTTCCCCTTTTTACCGAGCTGCAAAACACAGCCCTTCTTCTTCACACATCAGAGACATGTGTCAGGCTGACTCGTGCCCGCGTTTTAACGTGACAGACATGCAAGTGTCTAAAAAATAAATCTGTTTTATCCTGCTGCTGAAATCATACATGATCCAGTGCATATTACTCGAGTAAAAACAGGCCTCAGCAATACAGATTTAGAACATTACACAAGGTGTGTTTGACGCGAACACTGAACTAATAAAGTCTGAATACTAATCATATCGGTAAATATCTTAAAACGTACATTATCCTCCAATTAAAATCTTTATTTGCATTAAGTGTGTGAATGCTGAATAATCCCGATGATATGCATCAACTAATCCACAGTTTTCTATACTCCATTCAAAGCCTCTGATATTAATCTCATTACAGGAAACTGCTTTTCAGCTGAGCAGCCGCAACCTTTAAAATAATTACCATCCTTGCCTAACAATTTTTGAAATATTTCCCCACACTCTCTCTTTCCCTTCCCTCCCTCAATGCTTCGTGCACGGCAGAGGCTCAGCCGCTTTTCCCTGTGAATGAACGAGCAGCATCCGGTGCTCTCTCGCTGGATAAACAATGCAACTGTGGCGTGCACTGGTGTGACAGTAATGGGATTATCCTAAACATATAAACGGGGCGACACTGGCCGGAGAGCTGGCTTCCCCTCTGTCTCTCTCTGCCTCTGTGAGTGTAGAGGAGGAAGAAAAAACACGACCTAAACGAATCTAAGCATTCAACCCCTTTGCGTAATGATTGGGGTTTTTTGTTGGGGTAAAAATATCTTTACTCTGGGATATAGATTATTTTTTTATTTTTTTATATTGTATTTATTTTCCACATTTCATTTGGAAATTTTACTTGTATTATATATTTTTTATCTTAATGTATTATTATTATTATTATTATTATTCGTATAATTATTATTTGTATTATTATTATCATTATATCAGATAATGAAAGAAAGCTTTGAGGCATATTGTACGCCTGATTATAATACAGCTTGACCTGCATGGCCTTTAGCCCCAAAAGGAGAAGTTGTTCATGTGAGGGATGTATATGAGCTGCTCATGGGCATTTTTTGTATATGAGATTGAACATGGCTGATCATTACGCCTGCACATCTGGGGAATAATGTTAGATCAAAAGGGAATGTAGTAAAGCGCACGCCTACCTGAACAGGACCTTGATTTTGGTCTTGTTTTGGAACCATAACTAGAGGATGACCCACCTATCAGGCTACTTGGTGGGAAGAGGCCTGGGCCGTATTCAGGGACATAAGATGGGTATGAGGCGAGTGGGTGGTGGGCAGAGGAAGACCCTGCTCCGATTGATGCCACGCTCCGGCTGTGAGCTGACTCCAGTTTCATACTCTCGGCCAGGGTCACCTGGTACTTTATGCACTCTTTGTCCTCCTGTCTCCCGGAGTTAGACATGCCGGGGTCCGGGGACACGTCTTTCGGCGGGGTCGGGGGAAACGTGAAGAGGTGCGGACTGGAGTGACCGGTGGACAGGGAGGAGGAGGAAGCGGAGGGGTATACGGACAGGCCTGCCGGGGAGCCGTGGTGCAGGGGGTTTTTGGGGAAGGGGCTCAGGTTCCAGGGAGACGTGCTGTGGTGCGGGGCGATGCCTTTGCTGCCCTCCAGCCAGGGCAGGGAGCCGTGCAGTAATGAGGGACGGCACACCTGGCTACCTGGGTCGCAGAAACACAAGAAACATCACAACCTGAGCTCAGTCTGCGACCATACAAACACACTCTGATCAACCATTTAGCAGCGTAAAAGTCCAACTGTGTGCCTGAACAAGCCATCGATTATTATCATTATCATTTTTGTTAACACATTAATTTGCTTATAGCAATAACATTTCTAACAAGAATATTTCACCTCATTCGTTTCCCTGTTATGTATAGAAACGAGTTACATATGCATATTTTGCCCTGTGCTTTTTCCTTTTAAACAGGCCCTGATGCAACTAAATGCTTGTAAGTCAAAAGCCTAAATAGAGACAACATGGTGAATTAACTGTTGAGGAAGTCTACGATATAGGGAACTCTTAAAATAACTACGACCTAATGAACAAATATATACATAAAGAAGTGAAAACATGCTATTTAAAATTACCAACATATTCCAGGTGAAACTGCATGAGATATCTGTGCCAACATATCTATTTGTTTAAATTCATGACTAAATTGGGGAAATAAATTACGCGCGGAATTTTAATAGAAACTTCTGACATGGGTCAGCTGGATGTAATATTTTGTTCCATGTCTGTGAAGTTTAGACGGGGATAGAATGCGATATAAGCGGTAGACAGAAACCAAAGACAAACTGGAGGTAAACCATACATATTTACGGGGTGGTTTCACAACACTTTACGCTCTCAGGTTTTTTAAGACGATGTCAACTCAGGCCAAAACCGAAACCTGGCCTGCATCACAGTCAGATAATGCAAACAATTCCAAGCACAGAGACAGTAATTGAGTATTTGCTTCAGGGCTAAATTACGCACAAGGATCTAAAGACTAGCCTAGCCTATAATGTTCACATTATTAAATAAAAGGCCTAAACAGGGACTTTACTTACTGTGTGGAGGAGGAGGGTACCTCTGGACGGCTCGCACTGAGTTTCCATAGTATTGAGGGACGTGGTTCCCCTGCGCGTCGATATTAAAGAGTACATCCACATCGTCAGGTAGCTGGTACTGCGAAGGGTCCATGTATGAGTGGCCGAGGCCCGGGTGATGTGAGCCGGGGTGCTGCTCATTCAGATGATGGCTCATCCATCTTGGCTGATCCGAACTTACTTCCATTGCTTTTGTTGCTTTTTTTCTTTAGTAAATGTTCATGCACTCCGAAGCAAATCGGTATAAGTCACGAGATAAGAAATAAACTGTCCCAAATCCGTGTTTCTTTCAGTTAAATCCACAGGTTCCGCGCTTGCTTCCGATCACCTGGAGACAGAGATAATAATTAATTGTCTTATTGTTTTTATAGTTCACATGCAGTAGGCTACGGCTAAAATAAATGTTCCCGGGTTAAAAAGAAAAAACACAAAACCTACCCCTACATTACAAATGCAACAAAGCTGTTGTCATAATAATACGTCCAAAATGGAATCCAGCTCCACGCAGATTTCCTGAACCGCTCTTTCAGAAGAAAAGCGTTTTCAGCCAGGCTCAACAAGTAGTGGAGGTCTGCGCAGCGGATGGCTTCACTGACCGGCACCAGCAAGTTAAACTCTGTGATCAAATCTGTTTGTGCGCAGTTGTACCCTCTCCATTAACTCCTCTCTCTATCTCTCTCTCTCTCTCTCTCTCCCTCTCGTCTGTGTGGCGTTTGCTCGCTCACCCTTGCTCTAACCCTCTTTTTCTCTCTCTCTCTCTCCCTCTCTCTCTAGCTCTCTCTCTACTCTCTTTTTTTTTTTTTCTTTTTTTTTTTTACAGTGAAGGCATTCTTTCAGGATGGCGCCAGGCAGCTCAATGCTTGCAGACAGCTGTGGCGCGACGCAACTTAAGGAGGGTCTGTCAGTGTCATCAGTTAATGGGAGGGGCCTGCCCTAATTGAATATAACGTAGACCAGGGGGGGGCAGGAAGATTTCTTTCAGTGACCTCCTCCAAAAAGATATCATTTATATAGAAGGTAATTCTTCTAAATAGGCCCAATAAAACTTTACACCCTTATCGTGCATGGAAACAAACAAAAAGGCTACACACATTTTTTTTTTAAAGAGGAAAAATTAAGCGTCTCCCCTCCTAAAGAAACATCTAATTAAAATAAAAGTACAAAATAAAGCTTCTTCTTTTTTTACTGCAGTTTGCATTTTTTTAACAGCTTGTGTGTGCAGGAGAAGCTGCAGCAGAGCCTGTTGCTCTGGGACATTTACACTCTTAAAATTGTGACAGTGCGTCCTCTCGCGGTGACAGGCACATTATTATAATGGAAAATCCGAATTGAGCCGACCTACTCACCGTGAAGCAGGCGCGGACAAGGACAAACTGGCAGTCTCACTGAACTTTAGACTGCGAAAAATAAATAAACTAAACCCTACAATAGGCTTTTATTGTCTTTCAGTTAACTTACATGCATCTGAGCAATAACCATACCCTCAGACACACAGGCAACAATGGCTCATGTCATTATTTATTAAGAAAACAGTGCATTAAATGTAACGCGAAAGAGCTCACAGGAAGTGATTTACCCCAGCTCGCTTTTCATCTTTTTCAGCTTTAACAAATTAACATCAACAATAAAAATACAAAATAAAAAAACATTTTCCCATTTAAATCAGAGAGGAGTTACTCTGTGTGTTCAATTTCATACATGCACGATGCCTCGCAAAGGGGGGGGTCCTTCGGGAAGTATTTTATGTCTGAAGCCCAGTTGGGCTTCTCCATATTCTCTCAGATTGTGTAATATAGATATTGTGTGTCTGTGTAGGGGGCAGCCTCGGCGACGCTACTGGATGTGACGTCACCGCGGTGTTAAACAGTCAGGAAATGAGCCCTTACTCCCACTGAAGCGCGCAGCAGTGGGTAGGCATCGGGTGCGCGCACGCCCTTGCACCACGACGCACTATAATATCAGGTAGGGTCGGTTTAATGTGGCTGCACCGAAGTGCATGAAATTGACCATCACTGATCGATAGTATTCATTATAAAAAGGCTTTATTTTAATCATCAGAAATGTTTAACCCAAGGCCATGTGCTAAGGCGATGACTCCATTAGCTATTCATTTAATTAATTTTCTTTGATATCGAGGTTGTTCTGAGTGACTGAGCGAGATTTGGCAATGCGTTGTATTTTTCTCTCTCCAGGATAGCCCTATACCTGGAGAGGGGGGGGAGCGTTCCTCACTCATGCAAACCTGAGACTGAACTTGGATGCAAACTGCTGTAGCTGCCATTGTCAAACTGTCAGCGGACTCGTGTAATTATCCTCTTGAAAAGTATCGCGGAGCCATTATCCACAAAGTACCCGTTATAGGTGCTCAGAGGCAACACATGACGGTAAATGTAGCCTCAAATCCCGATTATGTTTTTTTGTTTCATGACTTGGATGTATCGAAGCTTAGAGAATGGGACATGGAAGCCATCCCATGTCTTGATTCCCGAGCCTCCGTGTCAATAACGCCGGAGCTTATTCAGCACAGAATACGACTGGCTCTCATAAAAAGTTGTCATTGATAATCCCAAACTGTCGCTATATATGAGGGGGAACGAGTGGCTTCAGTTCCTTTTCTCTGTCAGTGAGTGTAAAGCGTTGCTCTATTTTTGAAGTTATTGGCCTACAAATACAGAGCTGTTTTGCGTAAAGGTTGATTCATAAAAGTAGGCGAGGGGCCAATCGGGTTTCTTGATGGCATAGATCTGATTATGTCAGCCAGTCGTGATTAAAATCAAAACATAGATGGCACAGTTCCTTTTCTAAATCACGGCTGAGAATTTAAGACAGGAACGGATTAAACCATTGCCAGTGAGGGGGATGTTTTAGATAACGTCTGTATTGTGTGTGTGTGTGTGTGTGTGTGTGTGTGTGTGTGTGTGTGTGTGTGTGTGTGTACTTTGTCCCCCAACTTCCTGTGTGTGACCTCATCAGCAATTACAATCACTCTTTTGCCTCATAAATAATATTGTCCTTCCGCCAGCTGATTTATCAGAAGTCAGGCAGATACAGTCACACAACAATAATAATAGGCTACTATAAAATAATATTTAAAAAATACACTAGCCTACTATATATTAGTAATACTAACAATAAATAAATACATTCAATAATGATAACACATGTTTAAATAAGCAGCACACATAAATGTTGTTTAGAAATTAGAGCAAATACAATATAGGTATAGAATTGTATAATATTATGGTGTGTGTGTGTGTGTGTGTGTGTGTGTGTGTGTGTGTGTGTGTGTGTGTGTGTGTGTGTGTGTGTGTGTGTGTGTGTGTGTGTGTGTGTGTGTGTGTGTGTGATCAAAAGCTTTGGTGTCTGGGTTTTATCATATTTTGCTCACTTAATTTCAACCTGAACTGTACTTATGTTACGAGCATTTATTCATAAATATAAAAATAATTTATATTGGCGAATGTGCACATGTGATGTAAATGATAAAAACAGTAGAGTGCTATATTTTTTGCCTGCTATAACAATGAAGATGCCCAGTCACCCACTATTTAAAATGATATCCGTAATCGTGATATGTTAAATGCTCATACATTTTGAAACCACCCCAGCTAACCTTTATGTTGAATTTATTTTACCCTGTGAGTCATTTGTCACCTCACTAGTCTTTTCAAGAAAAAGGAGCTGCTATTCTGTCAGCATGTGAACCAACTCTGCTTCTCAGAACAAAACGAGGGCGTCAAATTCTGCTTTGTTGAGCACGTAAAACTTGAAGTGGATTTCCTAGAATGATTAAAAATGAGAACATAAGCGGTAGGATAAATCAGCTTTTACTTCGATTTAAAAAAAAAGAAAAAAGACAGAGCAGCACTTCGTAGTTTGTGTCATTCTTCCCAACGAAAAAAAAAAGAGAAAAACAAAACGGTCTGCCAATTGACTGATGCTTATCAGTGTCTATATCGCTCCTCGCCAGACGCACTGATGTAATCTTTCATTTAGCGTGCAGGGCCTTTTCACCTCGTAGATCCCCAACAGAAACAAAGTCATTCATATTTTTATCTAATTCATTAATTCTACTTTAAACATGACACCCTTGTATTATCGCTAAAATGTCCTGAATTGTGAGCCTAGAATAAAAGCAAAATCTTAAAGTATGTGTGCCATAATAAAACAAATTCTGCCACAAAATTCAAATGAAACCATATTCTCTATCTTTGTTTGAAAAAACAAACCATAGTAATAATGTTTGAAAGCAAAAGAATATTTAATCCAACATAAATGACCAGTGTAGACATTTGTAAAACAGACACAAATATATAAAATACCGATTAGGATCAAATCAAGGGTGCGCCACGTCTCGCATGCAGTAAGAGCTCTTGGCCCGTAACGTGTGATGCCCTTAATTTGGCATTCATTCAAACATCGGCCATATCAATACATCGACCAAGACGAGATGGAGGAAACTAATAACAGAGGGGGGAAACGCAGCTTCAGCAAACTCAACTCCTTTTTTTTTTATGACTGCCGGCAATAATCAGATCAATTTCACGGCTTCTATGGGATCCATGCTTATATCGCCAACCTGAGCTATGTAATAGGTTGTTAAAAACCTCATCTGCGCTATTTTAGGGAGCCGGTTTTGATGGTGGCTAAATATTTGAAGAAATGTAGTTAGCTGGCCACATTTTTTTGTACATATCAATCCCAAGTGACACAAGAGGAAACTGTGGCTAATTATTACCGTAGCTAATTTCGCTCTCCATGAAAAAAATAACAACAAACAGCTCACAACGACGTTAAAAGGCATCAATGGCGGACGTTGTGGACATTGTATTATCAACACCCCTTTTCAGTGCACACAGAGATAAATGAAGCGGCAGCTCCCTCTCTGGATTCAACGAAGTCCCGATTTCTTTTCGTTTTATTTTCATTTTACGCACACGTTAACCCCTTCGCAAAAGTTTCCCATCATTCAAAAACGAAATACAAAGCCAGCGAGTGAAGAGGTAGCCTATTGGACAGAGCATTACGGATGATGGAGAGCAAATCTTAATATTTACTGACCTGTAGTGGACGCTGATCGGAGACTTTTTTTCTGCAAATGTGAAGAAAGAGTGACATAGAGGTGAAGACGCCGATGGCATTTAGAGTTAGACGGAGAGACAGTGAGACTGATGCACGAAGAAGAAGCAGAAAAACCCTCTCAGAGATGGTGGTGGTGTGCGCCCTCGGTCCCGGAGTCACATCACCATATAACACACTGCGAGCAGAGACACCCGCGCACTGACTGTGAGTGCACCAGCACTTCCGGGTATCTGAAAGCATCACCGTAAGAGGAACAGAAACCCAATTAAAAGCTATAGCCACTTGCTTGTTTTTCTTGCACTATTTGTTTCTGACTCTTTTTATTATATATTGAAGACTATGTTGCATTCTTGGATAAGCCTGGGACTTTCATTGTCAACGCTGAAGCTATTGTGCACATGACAATACAACCTTTCAATGATTGCATCTACCAATGGGAATAAATTAGAGCGAAATAATAACGTTTTTTTTATTCAAACAGCCTTTTATAACAACTTTCAAAACGACACATATCCCATATACTGCTTTTCTTTTCTTTTCATGATAATATTTGCAAATAAATAAAGCTAACACCTGACCATGCCAGGTTATGCCTAAACCAAATATATATGCATCCTTATAATATGATGTCCATGGACAGTACATTAAGGGCATACAATAAAGAACATAGTTTTACATGTTTGAAATGTGG